CTGTTTCCCGGAGATATACCCATTGTTCGTGAGTTTGTGGATGTTTTTCCCAATCAGCTTCCGGGAGGACCACCTAACTGTCAGGTGGAGTTCACAATCGACTTAATCCCTGGAGCAGGACCCGTGTCGAACGCACCGTATCTCATGGCGCCGAAAGAGCTTCAGGAGTTGAAGGCTCAGATTCAGGAGCTGTTGAGTCTTGGTTTCATCCAACCGAGTGTTTCACCTTGGGGAGCGCCTGTCCTCTTTGTTAAGAAGAAGGACGGGTCTATGCGTATGTGCATCGACTACTGGGATCTAAACCGGTTGACGGTGAAGAACAAGTATCCGCTTCCCGGAATTGAGGATTTATTCGATCTGCTGAGGGGAGCCAGTGTATTTTCCAAAATTGATCTCCGCTCTGGTTACCATCAGCTAAAAATCAGAGAGGCCAAGTCGCTTTCCGAACCAGATACGGTCATTATGAGTTTGTTGTGATGCCGTTAGGTTTAAGCAATGTGCCAGCGGTATTCATGGATCTCATGAACCATGTCTTCCATTCATTTCTGGACCAGTTTGTCATCGTCTTCATTGATGACATTTTGGTCTATTCCTGTAGCCCGGAGCAGCATGAGGAGCACTTGAGAACCGTTTTGGAGACTCTTCGGCGTGAGAAGTTATACGCCAAGTGTTGTTATATGATTTGTAACAACGATATAACCTGTGATTAAGTGGATAATTTTGAATAATTTGGACGTAAAGCATGTAAGATTTACTCAACAATGGCCCCGGTCCGAGGTGAACCGAGGTGAAGAGCCGTGATGGGCTTTTACGTGTTGCTTAGTAAAGTTTTTTCAGTTCGGAGAGAGAGATCCCCGTACAAATGTCATGGGTGCACTATTTATAGTAATTTCGGGTTGATACATGGGGATCCGTGCATTGATTTTTTGAATAAAGTGGCTTTTTATGGGCGGTTTGAGGCAGGGGGTCCCACATAAATGATGACAGATCTTGTGGAGCAGGAGAGTCACTCGTAGGCACCTTGTCACCTGCTTAAGGGGGTGACGACCTCGGTTCACGTTGACCTCGGTGGATGTTGACCTCGGTGGATGTTGACCACTTCGGTCTTCGGTAGTTCGGTCCGGTCTGTCGCCTGAACCGGGGTCGTGTTGGTAATAATGCCTTTTCAATGATCATCTTCCTTCTAATATGTCATCTGGAATTTCTTAATGCAGGTTTACCGATCCGGATGTTAACAGAGAGGCCCCCAACATCGATGGGCATACGAAGTGATGGTCGTTGATGTTGCTATGTCAGATATTTAGAGACCATGGATCGGTAAGAAGTCGGCGGTAGGATATGGTCTATGGTCTTCGGAGGGTCATCTTCGGTCTTCTGAGTCCGATGTGACCGAAGTGAGTCATCTGTCCGAAGTGGAGACTGTATTCCAAGGTGAAGACACTTGGTGAATTTCGGATAATCTTCAAGCAGTTACGACAGAAGAAGTGAACGGTGGTAACGGTCAACGAGTAAATGTTTAGGCCGAACGGTCGCACCGTAATGGTCTTATATGAGGTAACGGTCGACTTTAATAGGCAGCCACGTGTAACAGTAGGTGTCTCATCAGATGAAGAGGTGGCGTCGGTTAGAATTAGGGGTCGCGTCGGTTCGACGCGCCCC